GTTCATAATCAGTTACATGTTTGAAAATTTGAAGTAGTTCGATGTACTCTTGTGAAAGTTATTTTTGTACAATTGTACTACTACTTTCGGAATACTGAATTATTTTTAGAAGTAAACTGTCTTCGTATTTGGTAGGTTGTCAAATTGAATGGATTGACCCTAGTATGTTGGAAGGTTTAGTGAATAAAAATGACTATACAAGATCCATGACTATACAAATTGATAGGTTTACTCTTGCTTTTTTGTTTCTATTTTTTCTTAGAATATTGTATAATATGCAATATGTTACATTAAATATCACCAACACGTGTCATTTCATTAGATTAAAATTATTAAATCAATGGTATTTATTTTCCGCTTCATTCTTTAGAAATTTCTGGCCTTGTGGTTTCCTGGTCTTTCCATCTATACCAGGCTTAATTTAAGGATCCTTTAGGCATAGCCTAAATCAAGTCTCTTTTTTAAATAGAAAATGATCTGTGACCTTTGCTTTCTTCTGTTGACACTGGATAGTCTCACTTATTATTGGTTCGGAAAAGAAATTGATCAATAACAATTACTTTATTTCTACTTTATCCTTTTGTTTTAGGTGCTGAATCTCCCCCTTATGTCTATATCACTTGGTTTATGCTCGAGTAATATCTTGCTTACGCTTTTGCTGATAGTGGATGAAGAATATTTATGACATTAAAATGAGCATGAAATTTCAAACTTAATATACTTATTTTGCTCATAATGTTCTTATGCTAGGCCCCTGCATTACGCCCAGAAAAGATAGAAAAGGAATATATACTGTACATCTATGGGAAGTCAAACTGCTTAGCCAGGCTGTTCATCTAGATACGTCTTAAGCATGAATGGCAGTGGCTGTGTTGGAGGGTTTACTGTTTTGAGGTTTTAGTGCTGTTTGTGGGCCTTTTGAAAACTGAATAGCTTGAACAATTTCAGATTCCATATATTAAGTAGTTCACTCATTGAATCTCAAATGGGACATTAAGGCTTAACTCAAATTTCAACTCAATCAAGAAAGCAAAACTTAACCTTTAAAACTTGAAATTCAAGTTCGAAAGGTATATGCCTGAACAGAATCCTGTAAAGGTTCTTATAAGGGGCAAATGGTAATCGTCCCTTATAGAAACCATGGTTGAACATAAAAGAAAGAACTTAACACACACAAATTGAATAGTGAAGATATTTCTAATACTATACCAAAAATGCAAGAGGAACGTACCGCAGTAAGCACAATTGCTCAATATAGGGTGGACAGTAAGATAAAATCTTCTTAATTACCTGTAATTAGCATATATTAACAGCAAATCAGCATATATGATACCCATATAAAATGAAACACGTCATTTAAAAATGAAATGCTGAACTCCCAAGGAATATGTTCCTGTACAGAACTCATGCAATATACCTCGGAACGTTTGGAATTAACAAGTGCAAAATATTATATTGAATTCTTACAATCGCATCAAGAGACTTCAATCATTTAATTAGCTTGCAATATAACAGCCAAAAAACTCCAGCAAAATGATTTTCTAATATATAAACAAAGAAATGATAAGTAAAACGCTACTTATGTTAACAAATTCTCAGGTCTTGGCTCAGTTGGCTCTGTTTCATATTAGGTACTCATTAATATGAAGTGTGGAATGACTGGAACCTAATATTTTTAATAGGAAGACTAACAATTATAGATATTTCTCAATCAAAATATTTGAATAAAGTTCGTATAGTAAAAAATATTACTGCCCACATTTTCTCCTTTGGAATTTAGAACCTACCAACCAAAAATACACGGTGACTCAAAAAGTCAAAATGATTCAATGGCAAAAGATTATTTTGTTTAAGTCATCCAAGAGATTGAAGTTTATTTATGCCACACAGCCATATATGCATGAACTTACATTCTTTGGAATTTATTTATGAATTATAATTGGTTTCAGAAGAAAAAGAAGGTGATGACCCAGATCCGAAATATCAAATTAGTAAACTTGGATACTGTACAGCAGAGAACCTCTATATTTTATCATTAAAATGTATTCAAGTAAAGGGAATGTAAACATTCAGTCTAACTTTTATTGATAATAGGTCCATTATACCAGCAGAAGAAAGCGCTGACTTCGTAAACTATTTGTATATAATTAGAATTCCTCCAATTACTGACAAAATGCAGGACACATACCAACAGGCACATTTAGGATAATTTATAATGTACTCAAACCACGTATGCTAGAATAAAATCAAATATGCAGGAATATACCAACAGCAGCAAAATACTTAGATATCCTTTCAAACGGTTCCATTTATGTTGGAAAAAAAGAGAGGGAGCGAGAGAGAGAGTTTCATGGTTAGTGGTATCCTAGAACAGAAAACATACAATATTTTGAAAATATTACGCTTAATTATTGAACCGAATGTAAAAGAAACAAAGCAAAAAATTTAAGAGGGTAAAAAGTAGAATAAAAATTTAATGTAAAAAAATATATTATTTGAATGAATAAAAATGGAAAAAAAATTCATTTATTTGAAAGAGTGAAAAAAATTAAATAAATAAAATTATGTTTTCATTTTATCTTTATATTTAATAGGATTGTGATAAAAATGATATTAGTAGTTTCAAAAATATGACAAGAATACGATGTTAATGATTGAAAATTATAACATCATTAAAAATTGAAACAACTATGTAATAATATAAATAATAATAGTTAAGATAACGGTAATAATACATAGTAATATTAATTAATTAATATTATTATTATTATTGTAATGAAAATGATAATAATTATATGATAACAATATAATTTTCGTATGTATTTTAAATAAATAAGAGTTAAATATTGATAAGTCTGTATTTTTATATGTTTTTGTAGCCTGTATATTTATGTATAACTATTATTTTATGTGGATTTAACATTGATTTATATATTAGATATGCAGTTTAATACTAAAAGACATAATTGAATTTTGGACTCAAATTTGTTGAAAAATAAAGTTTCTTTGCAACCAGCATGTTCATATCTTAGCAGTCAATATAAGGGTGTTTCGATCCACATATACGATCATGCTTATGACTTTATTTTGTTATGTTTACTTGTTGAAAGTCCTACTCTAAAGAAATATTAGGATTTCATAACCCTATAAAAGGAATCTTATTGGCGATGACTTAGGATCTCTCTTTTACATTTCTCACCATTTTTAAATCTTCAACATTGGTATTGGCTAGCGAACGACTATTAGAACTTTAAAAGCGTGTATTCGGATTAAGAACTCTATTTATCCCTTCTTTGTAAGAAACTCTTTTAGTTTGTATCTACTTTTTGAATAATTATGAATTAGTTTATTATTATTTTAGTTTTCTATTATATTATGTTTAGCTAAATCCATAAGTTGGGTTATGAGGAATCTTTTGCATACCTTTATGAGATCTTTATGATTAATGATATTTTTATATTTTTCTTTTTTGCTTGGTTTTTATCTTATTGTTTTATATTTGTATGTTCTGATTGGACAATTTTTAAACATATCATAGTTGATTATATTGTAGGTAATCATATCACATATAGTTAATGAATTTATAGGATAAAATGAGACAAATGATTAAGTTGACCAAACTTAGTTATTAAATTAACAGTCTATAGACTCTTTATGTTTTATTTTCCTTTTATCTTACATGACCATTAGAGATAATAGCTTAGGAAAAAGATTATTAACATTGCATGACCATTGAATGTTAATAGATTTAGTATGAGTGATTGACAATCATAAAAAGATAATAATTAAAATTAATCTGAAAGTAAACACAGAGAAGTAAAGGTGAAACCATATACCTTATATTTTTTTTTATTAGTTTATTATGAGAGGCTGTGTTATTTTTATTTTTATTTTAATTACTTTTATATTTGAATCTTTATTTTATTTAATTTCATATTTTTTAAGTTTAAACAATTAAATTAAGAATTTTATAATAATTAAAAATAATTATTATGAAACAGTATTTTGAGAATTTATTTTAGAACATTTATTATTTTTTGATAAGTACATTTATTCACGAATAAAGTTTTAATACACTTTTCGAATATTGTTATTTTTTAATATTAAAAAATCTCATATTTAATTAGTTTGAATTCTTGTTTAATTTTAATTTAATTTAATTTAATTTTATTTGTTTTTATATTTTTTATTTTAACATTAAAAATAAAGCTACTTTTTTATTATTTTAAGAATTAAAGTAAATTAATTTTAAAAATTAGTTAAAAATTAATTCAATTTTATTTTTAGTCAAACATTTTTTAATTTTTTATTTAAAAATAAAAACTCACAACCACTTTATTTATTTTTTTGAGTAGTAGGTATTGAATGTATATTTAAATTGTATATTAATTAATAAGGAAGATAACATGCCATAAGTTAATATGGGCTTGTTTATTTTCTATTTATAAAAATAAATTTTTAAAGTAAAAAATAAACTTATTTGTTAAGATGAGTTGTTAAAAAAAATTTAAATATAATTTTTAATTTTTAATTTTTAATTTTTAAAACTAAAAAATAAAAATACTTTTAAGGTGTTTTATTTTCTTATTGTAACAATAATTTTAAAAAAAAATAAACTAATAAATATATTTTTATTTTATTTTCAAATTTTTATAAAATTACTTTAAAATATAATTTTTAAAATAAAAAACAAAAACAAAAATAAACAAACTCTAAACTTTTTTACTTGTTTATATTTTTAACCTTGAAATATTGACACAAGGATTAGTTTGAATTTATTAGAATTATTCTAAATGATAAATATTTTAAAATATTTAATAACATGACAATTTTTTATTGATAATAACAACAAAAAATGATAAAATTTAAGTATAGTCATTTAGATATTACTTTTATTAAGTAAATTTAAAACTTTATCCCAATTATTACTATAGCATTAAATATAAATATTTGATTAAGATAAATTTATAATAATAAATAATATAAAACATCACATAATAATCCTTCGCTTGGATTCCCAAAACATAGGGTTCGTTCCTTTCAAGTCATTCCCGATCCGTCAGCAGGTGAATTTAGCCTCAATTCGTGAATTGTGATTGGATTGCCTGATCCATCCTGGTTAATCCAAAACCCTAGATGGACCTTCTAAAGCAAGAGCTTCTCAAGAAGCGCCAATCTCTGGCCGAAGACACCGGCGGCAAGAGAGTCTTCAAACGCTCCGAGATCCAGCAGAAGCAAATACAGAAGCTCCGCGACCAAGAGAAGCGCGAATTAGAAGCAAAGTCTCAGAAACGCCACGGAACTTCCTCCGACACATCCACCACCGCCCCTTCCTCCTCAACCGCCACTTCGGCCTCCGTCGCCTCCACCATTGCCGCCTCAAACGCCTCCCTCACTGACGAGCAAAACATCGACAACCTCGTCCTCCCCAAACCTGAGGTCATTCGCCGCCTCCGCTTCCTCAAGCAACCCGTCACGCTCTTCGGCGAAGACGACGATGCCAGGCTCGATCGCCTCAAATACGTGCTCAAAGCCGGCTTGTTCGAAGTGGACAGCGACATGACGGAGGGACAGACCAATGATTTCTTGCGCGACATTGCCGAGTTGAGGAAGCGCCAGAAGACCGGCATTTTGGGCGAGAGGAAGCGTCAGAAGACCGACGACGGTGCCGCTGAGGACAGAGAAGGGGGTGCTGGCGATGATGACTTGAGCGAAGGTGGTGACTCCAGTGGCGTCGATGCTGACAAGGATTTGAAGCGGATGAAGGCGAATTTCGACGAACTGTGCGACGAAGATAAGATTCTGGTGTTTTTCAAGAGGCTGTTGAACGAGTGGAAGCAGGAGTTGCACGAGATGCCTGAGGCGGAGAAACGAACGGCTAAAGGGAAGTCCATGGTTGCTACGTTCAAGCAGTGTGCGCGATACTTGAACCCGCTCTTTAAGTTTTGTAGGAAGAAGGTGAACTTCCTTCACTCTTTGTTTGTATTATATGATTTATTTTGAATTTTGCTTGGCATTGCGGATTGGTTATGTGTGAAGTTTCGCAATCTTCCTTGTAATTGGTCTTAGTTAATATAGACAGTGACGCTTGCTTGGATGTTATTGTTAACTGGTTGGAGGAATAGCTTTTAAACTAAAACATGCTGATGTCTAAAAATTTGAATCAAGAGAGATGTAGAAGTAAACTGTTGTCAACCTGTCATTATATCTTGAGAGAACTATATGTATAACTATAACGTAGGTGTTGGCAAGAGTGAGGTATTATCTGTTTTATTGTGATTTTTAACATGATAAGAGTGTAGGACCATTCTAACTGATGGCATATGTATGACTTGTTGAAGTTGTTTACATTTTCAATCTTTCTATCTACATTGCATTTATGACTGTATATATTATGTATTTCTGTTGTAGATGGGATAGGAGGTGCCGAATATGAGTAGTGCCCATAAATTTAGTTCATTACCTGTTAGACTAATCTTACTTTATATATCAGTTACTTGTTTATGGAATTTAATGGATTATGTTGAGCGATTTTTTCTTTCAAAATCTTTTGCAAGATACTCCTAAGAAAAAGCTCTTTTGCCCCCAAAATAAGCTAAGTCCAAACATGTACTCGGATGAAGCCTAATGGGCTTGATTGATTGATGTAGTCATGTAGCCAACTCTTCTAGCGGGATAGAGATTCATGTTATTATTGTTGTTGAAAACTTGAAATTGGAATGAGAGAGGTATATATATTTTTGGACAGTGTGGAAATTGTGTGTATGAGGTGTAGTTCTGGATATCAATGTATAAATTTTGATGAACAGAAGTGATAACAGAATTTCAGTACTGGTTGATTATTTGATGCCTCTCTCTTAGTTATCTCGTGTTGAGGACTTTAACCTGGTCTTAGTTTAGCTGAACCTTATATTATGTTTAGTTTCTATGTAAAAGATATAATGTTATGCCTAGCCTTAATCATTCTGTAGGATGATGCTCAATCAGAGTCTAAAAATGATAAGTTGCGGGGAGGGAACACAAGATGAGAATCATGAATTTTTGGCTAGCAGGAGGGGCAGTAAACCCTATTAGACTAAGATACTATGAAGGAAAGAAACCTCAGAAAGATCATGCTGTAACATCTCTCTGCAACCAGTAGTAGAAGTATCCAACAAATGGAGCTGAAAGCATTAGTATTTACTTTGGAGAACGCATGTCCAAAGGGCACTGGATGTAATAGTAAGACCCTTGTCACCCATCCTTGCTTCATAGGGTGAGTTTGATGGAAAGCATGCAGGTTATTCAACCCTGTACCCCTGGAGGGCTTTGGGAGTGCAAAACAGGCTTGAGCATACAGTATCATAACTTTTGATTTTCCATCCTCTGAATATTAATCCTTAAATTGGAGCAGGCATGTTTTGTCTATTCTAACTTAGGGAAAGCATGTTCTGGGATAAATGTGGCTTGCATAGCGTAGGTTGGTAAATCAGCTAGTGCTGATTCGGTGAGTGTCTGTTAAGGATAGGCTTATGCTTTCCACAAACTAATGACACTGCTGTGTTCTTTCAAGAAATTGATGGAAGTGTCTGTATTGGTTTTCCTGTGCAACAAGAGATTCAGAGAATTTGCTGAACTTAGTTGTAACTTATAACCATTTAGCATACCTTTTACAGGCATTCCATGTCTTGGTGCATACTGTTTCAATTAATGGATGTTTGCGTTGAAAGCATGAAATTTTATTCTTGTTATGGTATGTCTCATTGTTCCATTTTTTATTGAATGTGTGTTACTTGCTATTTTCAGGTTCTTCCTGATGACATTCGGCAGGCGTTATTGTTGGTGGTGGAATGCTGTATGAAGCGAGATTATCTGGCTGCAATGGACCATTATATCAAGCTAGCCATCGGGAATGCACCCTGGCCTATTGGTGTTACTATGGTTGGTATTCATGAAAGATCTGCCCGTGAAAAGATCTACACCAATAGTGTTGCTCACATCATGAATGATGAGACTACTCGCAAGTACTTGCAGTCTGTCAAGAGATTAATGACATTTTGCCAGCGTCGTTATCCTGCATTGCCGTCTAAAGCAGTTGAGTTTAACAGTTTGGCAAATGGCAGTGATTTGCAGTCACTTCTGGCAGAAGAGAGATTTAGTGGGGTCAATCAGGCATCTGAGGAGAGGCTTAGGATAATGCCTGCTCCAAGAGATTGCTAGTCATTGGTGTTTTATTTCATGAAATCACATCATCGTATTATGATGTATGTTATTTTATGTTTAATTGCTAGATACAGTCTGTTTCTATTTCTTTTTAAGTGACTGCATAAAAGGAACGCATCTATAAAAATGGCCAAAAAAAAAAAAGAGTAAAATTCTGATGTTTTCTACGGTGCCCATTATTTTTGTTCAGTAACTTATACCTGGTTTTGGCTTAAGCTGTTCATTATGTTAGTTTTTAAGATCAGTGCCTTCATGTCATCAAATTTTTTGAACTTTTTCAGTGAGTAGCCCAGTTGAGCTTTTTTCTCCTGGTAGCGTTTTCGGGCTTTCTTTGATTTCTGCATCTTGTTAACAGCTCGGGGATGCTTCTTGCAACTTTTATTTGCACCTCATTAATTTTTTTAAGTGCCCTAGACTATAATTTAACTTACTATTCTTTTTTGCATAAATTGTTTTCTTCTTCAAAATTTCACTTTTATCTCTGTCAACATTTCATTTTTTGTTTTAACCATTCCAAGTTTCATTTTTCTTCCACTACTATCTTTTTTTTAATGTATTTTAAGCATGGTTAATCCCTAAGTACGTTCATTATTTTGATATATTGTAGGAAGTAAAAAAAAATTGACAACACTAACATTCTTTTGAAAATACGTTTTAAAATTTAGGATTTTATATTTTTTAAAATAAAGTTTTTGAAATTAGGTTTTTACATTTTTGAGAATTAATTTATAGAATTATTAATCCTTTTTAAAAATAATAATTTTATATTTTCGAAAAAAAGTTATTGGAATTAAGATTTTGCATATTTTAAATTAATTTTTAAATTAAGTTTTACATTTTTTAAAATTAATTTCCAGAATTGTAAAATTCTAATCATGAAAGGTTGTTTTTGAAAAAAATTAACAATTTCAAAATTAATTTTGAGAAATGTTAAAATCTTATTTAAAAAACTTATTTGAAAGGTCTTTTTTATAATTATAAAGGATATTCTAAAGAAAAATTAAATATTTTTTAATACGTATGAAAAGAAAAAAGTGGTGCAGAAAATAACACCTTAATAATTATTTTTGCGTTGTATAAAGATTAACTTTTACAGAAAAATCTTATTTTGTTTATTTGTATAGTTATATTGTATATAAGAATTAAAAAATGTATTTGGATAATTATTCTACATGCATCGAATTCATTTTTGAGAGTAAACATAAGAAAAATGCAGAAGTTTGACGTTTGGATTATTTTGTTAACGAGTGTGGTTCTTTAAAAAGCGCAGGAAGATTGTAGAGTAATTAAAATAAAAATAATACTAGTATATTCACTATCTATAATCTCCATCTTCTTGTGAGTTTTGATTTTGATTGGGCTGCTGAACTGAATGAAGGAGGGTAAATAACAAAAGAAAGGGTTGTCTGAGAAACAACAAACAAAGGAGAGGAAAAAAGAATTAAAAAAAATGTAGCTTTTGTGAGCGGAGGACAGATGGGGGCACGTCAGCCATGTGATGGTCCACGTGGCAAGAAGAGGACGAGCACAGGCACTGAAACGCATAGGATCTGCGGTGCATAGTATAGGCAAGGCACGTAATCAGAGAGGGTGAGGGTCGTGTGAATGATATTCACCACTGAACTGAACGCCACGCGAATCGGCTTAGTGCTATTGCTAGTGAGTGCCATGGATACCTTTCTACTCCACACTGCGTCATCAACATCAATGGCGAAACGACCATGTCCCTCGCAAAACCCTAGGGTTCAGATCCTTAACGAGGTGGAGCGTCTCCTCGACGCGTTCCTCTCCCTCTCCGACCTCCCTTCTTCCTCCCTCGATCTCTCCTTCGAGAGGCTTCTCCAATCTGTCCCCTCCGACTCCGATCTCATCGATCGCGCCCTCAAAATGGGTTCTCTCCTTCTCGACGCCGCCAAACACTCCTCTCGAAAACGTGCTTCCCTCCACAATTCTCTTGCCTGGCCTCTCCCTCCCGACCTCACCATCAAGGTCGTTTTTCCATTTTCTCTTTCATTTCTCTCACTTTATTGCATTCTCATGATTTTATCATTTTTTTAATGCAACCTTACTCTATTTGTTTTTAATCAATTCGATTTTTTATCATGCTATGCTACTCATACAATGCTGTTCGTCAAGAGTAGTCCTATTCCTCAGTTTCCCTTGCTGCAGATTTGTGTTGTTGCATTTCGTGTGGGTAAGCTAATTAACTAAGTCGGTGGATGTGTTGTTTCCTCGCTGTCGATTTTCGTTTTTGGGAAGCCTTTTCTTTATATTTTATCTGTGTAGTTAGTTAATAGAAATGATTTTTATTGAATATCATTGGATCCGAGTTTTCTGAGTGCAAGGATGTTGCAAAAATGAAGTACTTATGGAGGAGCATGCAGCGTGAGTCTATGGTTTTGCTTGGTACACAAACGATGATTATACTTGTTCGACGGTGCTTAATAATCATTTTGGAGAGAAACTGAAACTTCTATTACTTATTGTTGGAAACTACCGTAGATTTTAACATTCTTCTGCATGGAAGTAATTAGTGAACTCTCTGGGTACTGATTCTGAGTATGTACAGGTGTTCTCCATGCTTGATACCCAGAGCCTGTGCTATGCGTCAGCTACTTGTTCGTTGTTTAGCAAATGTGCTAAAGATCCTCTGTGCTATGAAAATCTTGATTTGACAACACTTGTTCCCAAGGTTAACAATGCAGTAGTTGCCACAATGATTCAGCGGGCTGGAAAGGCACTACGGTATGAAATGCTGTGTCTCACTTATCCTATCCTTTCCTTTCCATGCTATATTTTTTTTTCTGGATCAGGTGATTTTGGGGTGTATTAATAACAGTGTAAAATGAATCTCCTCCTGATCTAACTGAGTCCAATTATAACCTACCTCACCTGGTGGGATAAGCTTATTGTATGTTGTAAAAAATGAATCACCTACTGAGCTGAGCATTACCCTACTTTGCTCATGGTATACTGATAAAGGGCCAAAAAAGGGAGTATTTAATTGCATATTTTGATCATTTGTTTGAATGGTGTGCCTCATCTGCTTTGGTGCCTTCATTCTTTGGTAACTCTTGTCATACGACTTATGATGCACTCCTATCTCTAAGCTTTGGTTCCTATTAGAAATTTATGCATAACTAGTTCTTTTCTTTTATAAATGTACTTAAACGTGTAAACTCCATTAGCTTTTTCAATCAGGAAAAGGAGCTATCTTCATTTTAACTTGGGTTAACTTCCTTGGCTTGTCATTACAATTTGATGTAGTTTTTGCCTAATTATATTCACAGATAAATCTATTTTAATTCTTTTATTAAGGTCTCTTAAGCTTGGTGTTGTCCCTGGTGCTGCTACTCCTCCTGGATCTTGTCAACCGTATGTTTGTACCATCAGAAATGCTATTGTCGAAGTATCCAACTTTTCATGGAATGATAAGAGATCTCGACAAGGGAGAGAGTCATCGATTCTTACAAGATGCTGTTTAAGCCCTTTAAGTGGGGATGGTGGTGTCCCAGGGTATGTTTTTCATGGATTTCAGTATTCAGTATATTTGGTGACTTGTTTTTAAAAGGACTCTTACATTTTTTTTGTAGGAAGCTTTTGAGAAAGTTGCACTTGTACAATATAGAGAGAATGGATAATGCATCCCTTAGTGGGGCATTGTCGGCATGCCCTTCTCTCCTTGATCTGGAAATTGTTGGGCTGTAAGTTCTTTTCTTTCATCTCTTGTTCTTTCCCTTATTTTCATTATAAACATTTTCTTACTGCTACTGGATTATGGATACGAAAATGTCTTTTGTTAATTGTGTTGGAGATGAAAAAATGGAACTTTTTCTCTATGGTCAGGGCACTTTCTTATGATCTGGAATATGCACTATTTTAAACTCCATTTCTGCAGTTATGCTGAGAATTCTATGATCAGTTTACTTTCCTAAGATCTGGAATATGTGCTATTTTAAATTTCATCTGCCATAGTTAGGCTGGAACTTGTTTCTCCCGTAAGTTGTGACTACTGACTACCAACTTGTTTGTTTTAATTGCAATGTATCTTTCTGTTTTAAACTCTGATGTGTACGTGTGATTATTGTTGTTTGTAAACATTTAATATGTATATATGTCTAAACTTATTTTCTGCTAATTTATTTCTTCTGAAAGAGAAGGTTGTTTCTAAATTTTATTTATTAATGGAATGTATTTTTTGAACTGCTAGCCATGTTGAACTGAGGCAAACATTAGTGTCAGTAAGTGCAAACTGTCGCATGATTGATCGTTTGTTTTTTGAGTCTTCTAAAACAGGTAACTCACTTTCCCAGCTATATTTTGCCTTTAGGGGCTCTTTGTATGTCTGCTTATCTTTTTGATTATCAGGTAGAGATGACAGCTTGAAAGCACAAACCTGTTCTGAGCTAGTAAGCAATTGTCCTCATCTAACTTCTTTATCCCTTAGAGGGTTTAAGCTACACGATTGTAAAGTCCGCATATTGGTTAAGGTATGTTTTCAGGAAAGTTATCAATTTTTAATGTACTATGTATCAAGTTCTTTTTTCCAACATTTTTTTGCCTTCTGCTCTCGATGTAGATTTTGGTTAACTATGGTAATCTTATAACTTGCATGTTATTATGCAGTTCAATAGTCTGTATAGATGTTTTGTAATACTACTGTTGAGAACAAGACAAATCGAGAGACATTGGAAGAATTCCATTTGTTTAGCCTACACAGTTGATCATCTATTTATAATATGATTCATAATTACAGAAATAATTACAAGAATATTCTGTTTCCTAATTGCCATAATTACAGAGATATGGTCTTCCCTATTACTATATTTACATATTTCCAACAACTAATATGATGTATGATTTTAAATCAATTGATTCCGTTTTGACTTTCAAAAACTGGCGTGCAAATTTAATTTGTCTGAATAATAATTTTGCAATATATACTGCATAACGGTGTACATTGAGATGCCTTTATGGAAAGTGAGGACATAGTTATCTTCTTGATATTCTATTGATGTGTGTTTTGAAGCTATACTTTTATTTTGAAGTTTGGGCTATTGATTTTAAATTAGATGACATTTCTTAATTTTTGTTTTTGTCTAGTATAAGAAAAGCTCCATCTTCTCAGGGTTATTAATTCCAAACTGCATGTGCAGGGATTTCGGAAACTCAAGTATGTTGACTTTTCAACATCCTATTCAATCACTGGAAATTTCTTAAGGTCAGATGTTTTTAAAGTTTAAACCTTAAGATTCTGGCGATCTGTTGAGATTGTTGCTTTGAAAAACGGAAATCCTTTATTTTTCAGAAACCTTGGTAGCTGCAATGGTGGGAATTTACTGGAGGTCTTAATTTTAAGGGATTGCATGCATCTCAAAGAGGTGATGTTTGTAATACATTTTTAGTTGTTTCTTTCTTTCCAAAGTACTGCCTCTGAAACAGCAATACTTCATATGCAGATGGAAGTTGCTAAGTTGTTGACAGCAATTCTTACAGGAGATTTCAAATCGCTTGTACATCTTGTGGGTACATAGAAATATATGTTACTTTGCTGAAATAAGACTGAAGTTTCTGCTAGAGTCAAATTTTATTATAGTTCTCACTCTTACCTTTAAACAGGACATATCCAACAGGGAAGGCTTAGCATCTGAGGCTGACTGGTATCACAGATGCTACAACTCTAGGTAATGATTATAATATATGGATTTGATGCTTCAACTTTCTGAATGGCTGACTTTTTATTCTTTATTCAATTATAAATTGGGGCTCTATGTTGCAGTATTATGCCTATCAAGCAGGTTTTGGAATCAAGGCCTGATATGCGTTTGGTGGCTGAATATCCATCAGAAGGAAGGTTAGATATCTTTTCGTTTAAAGTATTTTGGATTTTGATTTTGTTAAAATCAGTCCTTAAAATTGATTTCAAACATCTAAATTTAATTATTTTTTATTGGGAGACAACATTTATTACATTAAAAATATATAAGTATAAAAATACTTTTGTTTCCAATAAAAACTTAGGTTGAGCTTAGATAAACCTTTAGAAAAGTCCTTAAAGGAAAAAAAAAATCTGTATAAAAATGGATTAATTTTTTTCCATAAATTAAAAACAATTTATACTTTTCTATTTTTTGAGAAGTTTCGAGGAACTCTCTTATTTAATTTTTCTAAAATTTGAAGAGATAAATTGTTTTTAATTATAAAAAAAGTTTTATTCATTTTTATACTAATTTTTTTCTTCTTAAAGACTTCTCTACTTACTATTTCTAAATACTTAAAATCAACCTTCAGGACTGATGAAAATATTTTCCTCTGGTGCACTGAATTTCTCGCTGAAGTGTTTGTTATTAATATTTATTCTGAAAGTTGCCAATTTTTATGTTTCTGGATTGTATTCAGTTACATTGAGACATTCGATGCTGATATGAATAGTGAAATAAGTTTGCCATCGCAATCCAGCGGCCACACATCACTTTTTATGAGTACATCTGAAAGCAGCTACAACAGTGATCAGGGCAGTGGGAATGAAGATAGTCAAGATGCCAACTATGTGATTTATGAGGAAAGCTCAGATGAGATTGACTATCTGGTCCTGTAGGGATTCCCCGTTGTATGGCATCAATTGAAAAGGACAACAATGTAGTGAACTCGGTACTCTCATTGCTCTCTTTTCCTTGTGTGTGTGTGTTTTGGGGGGGGGGGGGGGGGGGTGTTATGAATCTACAAGTTGATTTCTATTTAATGAAAGCAAATGTTACTGAGTGCATTTAGGGCGATGAAAATAATGTGTGCTCACTCAAGACGTGTTGAGAAGTTAAAAATATAAATCTTTTTTATTAGAAGCGAAGAATTTATTACCTCAAAATTATAAAAACATTCAATATATACTTTTAATTTAAAAACATTTAAGTGTTTAATAAGATGTATTTTATGTTTCTCCTACATTAGAAAACTCTTTCTTAAGGAATTGCAAACATTTAATATGGTGTAGTCGATGCTGCTTTACCATTTACAAGGATAGATTAGCTTTGCTTTTAGGTTGACTTTGGACAACTATGAACAAGTTTGAAACCTTGTGAAGGAATAAATATGTTTTGTCTGACAAGTTTTGTCTAGTGTTCGCATGTGGCAACTTTTGTCTAGTATCTCATATTGGGAATTAGAGATAATACTTTGTGCTTCCAGGAAAAAGGAACGTTACGATTTGATGATTCGAGCTTAGTGTTTGCTGTTTGTTTTGCTTCTACAGTGAATATTTGTTAGACTGATTTCATTTGCTTTGTTCGTCTTTGGACTAGGGGAGCGGTAGAGGAAGAAGGATACGGCAGGATGGATGTCAACTATTAACCCTGGACTTCCTTAACTTTCCATTTTATCCTTCTCTTTATTGAAGTTCTTCACTGTGGAGTTCTCAATCTGGGGGACAATTGGAGGTCGGTTGAAATTTTGAAGATGGCCTTTGTTTCCATATTTGCGGAATTGTAAATATACTGCTGCTCTACCCCGTTCTCTCCCCAAAATTTGGAGGTTATTTTCCCTCGGCATCAGTCCATATAATAATGCTGGAATTTATTTTTGGTTCTAATGTAAAAGAGATGTTCAATTATGTATTTTGTCCCCTTGGATGCCGTCTGGCTAATTCACAAATAAAATATAAATAAACAATTCTGTGGATACTTCTGTTAGTAAAAGGAATTAGGCATGTCATGGATCCGTGCCATGAGTGAACATGGACCGTTGATCAAACCTATTCCTACTAGTGGGAGACCACATCCTTGCAAATGCCAAATATAGATCCCACTTATTGGATCATTTCGTGTGGGTATTTATATTTATAATACACGGTTATGGAATTCTGTAATTTGGATGTCAGTTTAAAGTTTTGATATTTTTAAAAATTGAAATTAATTTTGTAGTTCAAATTCTGTTTTTTACTTCAAATTTTAATTTTTAATATTAAATCTTAAATTCAATTTTGGTGTGATGGAACTATGGCTTATGCCTGTGAATATACGTGTATATATATAATTATTTAAAGAATATAATTTTTTAATTAATAAATTATATATTTATTATTATTATTATTATTATTATTATTATTATTATTATTATTATTGTGTTTGCATTCACTAGTGAATGTAATAATTATTACTAATGCTAGCAATGATCATTGATTAATGGTGGTGATAGGTGGTGATTATAATAGTAGCAAGGATAACAACAACAGAAAAAAAATAGGAAGTTGAATGACTAAAAACTAGAAATTGACATAAAAATATTTAAGTGTTAAAAATAAATAAGATTATATTTTAATTGAACATATTTTATTTTAAAATTTAAAATCTGTAACACTTTAAGCATATTTATTATATGCGTTTTTATTTTTTTATTTTTAAAATATTCTCACTTGGTAAATGACTTTATTTATCAGGTTATTGCATGTAAATAATTTTTTTAAATGTTTTGATTATATTAATTTGTGTAATTAATTTTTTTTAAATGTATCATCTTAAATGATAGATAATGAGTAGAGAATTTTTTTTATATGTATAAAATTTAAAATTAAATTAATAAATTTATAGGGTTTAAAATTAAAATTTAATAATTTTATAGGAACTTAAAAATATATTTATTTTTTATTTTTTATTTATATGGAGTTTTGCGTATATTTGTTGTATCAGTACTAGTTTTGTTCTCCGAACAAAAGTGTCTGATATTTTTGTTATATGAATATAACATGCAATAAGAAAAAGAAAGGTGACTGGAATAATTTGGATTTTGGTGTTATCTTTAGAGGACACTGTGTTAACAGATAAGTAACTTGGTAGCCACTAGTGGCCGTTGAAAATGAGGGCAGTACCTGTGTTGGTGTTGCCGCTTTCTCTTCCTTGTCGACCTCTTACTCCTACTTTAGCCCATAATAACATTAATATCTCCGATCCCATTTTGCATCGCCGTTTGTTTTCTTCCTCAACAAGATTCCCCAACAAAACCATAGTCTTTGGTGTGAATCCCAGCGACTCCAAAGACCCTTTGTTCTTCGACGAAAATGGTGTGGTCAATGATATGGAGGGTTACCTCAACCACCTCTCCCTCGAGTACGACTCTGTCTGGGACACTAAACCTTCTTGGTCAGCTTTCCCATTCCCATTTCTCATTCTTCGAAAATTCCCTATTTTTTCTAGTATTATCCATACAACGAAATTCTCAATCCCAGAAAATTAGAAACAAAATTCTGGGCTTAATGCACCCAGAATTATTGTACTTGTGTCTAAATATTGGAGATTTGATAACAATATCTCATCTTTTGTTTAGGTGTCAACCCTGGACAATAACACTGACGGGGGTATCAATTATTGCCCTTAGCTGGTTAATTTTGCACTCAGTCATAGTCACTTCACTCATATCCTTACTAATTTGTGCATGGTGGTACATCTTCCTGTATTCTTATCCGAAGGTTCGCCATCATCTACTATTTGTGTTACATAATTTACTTTATTTTACTAAAGCATATTCTGCTTTAGAGTACATAAATAATGCATAATAAGAGATCTATGCGCTGCGTGGCTAAGAAATACGGTCTTAGTGTAATAGTTTGGAATAGGGATATCAGTTAGTGTGTTTCTGAATGTGTGAGCTTATAAACATCCAATAGGTTTTTGAGATTATCCTCATACCGTTTATTGGGAATAAACTCTCAAATAATCCATGAAATTTATCGGTGAGACATTTTATTCCTTGAGATTTTAAAAACTTATTGCTAGTCTTGACTTTATTGAACATCATTTACTTTAGTTTTATTTTGTGCAAAATAAGAGTGAAAAACAAAGTAAAAAAGAACCAAAATGAATTACTATTTTGCATAGTCAAGTATCAATCAAGAGTTTTTAAAACCGCAGATACTGAAGTGTTCGACTCATACAATTTCAAGAACTATTTTGGGAATTCAGTTCTCTTTTGATGATGGAAGATGTGTATTTAAAATTTCATACATACCAGCCAGATTTTAGTGACAGGTGTCAAGCATCAATTTTGGTTTAGAGATTTATTCAGGTCTTCTTACCTTTGAAATGCAGTAATACGCGTGTGTGTGTATTTGAGAAAGTTAATTGGAAGGGCTCTGGGAGTGGGTTGTACTGTACCTACATTCAATTAAAACACAGCAGAAAATAGGAAAATAAGCAAATTAATTGTTCTTGAAGGTAAATATACAATATTTCTTGTTTATTGGCAGGCATATTCAGAGATGATTGCTGAGCGCAGAGAAAGAGTTACAAACGGCGTTGAAGACACATTTGGTCGTAAGAAGCAGTGATTTGTATTATTCTTATTCCTCAGTTGTGCCCCATCTTTTACCTCCTATTGTCTCACTTTCTGCCTCTGCGTGTATTTTAATATTCAATTACAGAATAGTAACTCTCAAGGCCTTCATCCGTGTTACTGTCAATTTGCTTGGGGGTGACATACAAGTCTTGAAAACTAACTTTATAAATATTTGACCTTATCTTCACACACTGGGCGATTGGTTGGATTAACTTATGCTTTGATTTGATTGGATTAACTTTGAGAATTTTTCCTTGGATGTGTGAAAATAATTTTCTATAAGAACTATGAAGCACCTATCTATCACGTAAGCATACTTGAGAAAGAGGTTAAAAGTGGATTTTCACCGAATAAAGTTTCTGTTTTTTTCGGAAATGTTCTCCACGGAATAAAAAGTTAATAAAGTTTCAGCATTCTTGTGTGTGTGAGAGAGAGAATTTTAGCTTCAAACTTTCTCGTGTGGAAAACAGAATTTTGTTGTTACTTAGTCCTTGATGATTTTTAATTTGAGTTTTTTAATTTGATTTGTTAATGTTTGCTGTAATGTCCCTGTGTAAGAAGTCTGATAGCCTTAATATTTATCAATTAGTCCCGCACAAAGAGTTAAACATGTAACCAAACTATTAGCCACATAGTAATACATTTGTAAACCGTTTTTAGAAAAGGCCTTTATCACACATATTATGGAATAAAAATTACAAATTTCTATGATAAGGAACATGCCTCGATGGTCTTCAACCAATGCTACCGGCACATGTTCTCTTGCTTGCGCGGATCAAAGTGGATTAGACAAAACAACCCAAAGTGAATCTTGGGAGGTGGGTGAAGTCTACAGGAGAATGTTTCAATTTAAGGATGAAAGAGGCGTTGCACAATAGGCTGGTTTTGTGCTGGCAATACTCCTTCAATGCTGGAGCATAAGCCCATAAAATGTATGGGATGGTTTTGCAAAAGACTATAAATACCCATATTCTTTAAAATGCAGAGTCCACCATCATGACCGTTCAATATCATGCCATCAATGAAGTGGACAAAAAAATTTCGGAGCACTTTCATACTGCAGTACTAGGGGAAATACTGGAAAATTAGTATTACATCCAAAGATGAAACTTAGGAAAACCATTAAAAAATTTATGTTATCCCTTTTTAATAAATCAATTGGCGATTTTTCAAAAAAAAAAAAAAAAAAAAAACGAGTAAGCATTTCTTCTCAAAGGCTAATAGCTTGGTCGTTTAAATCACTCAAGATTAGAATAATGCTAAGTGCGAATAGCTCTTTCAAGACATTTATCCTTTCCTTAAATAAAAAGGACATTTACCCTAAATATATAACCATTAGAGTTTGGAGGGGACTAAATCAATGTTGTCCATTCAATCTTCCTCGTATGAATAGAAAGAGGTTGTTCCAAATCGTTGAAAAAAGGTTGATGGAAAGTTGAGAATTTCCTTCAGATTCTGAAAGTGAAACTGTCAGCAATAATTTAGACTTGTTCAAACGGTCAAGCCTTGTGCCAATATTATTTTTGGGTGATTATTGAAAATGGAAATAGAACACAAACATTTGAAACTTGTGATTTAATGTCAAAACAAAACTGAAAAATCCATCAAACTTGCAATGCCGTCTTGTTTTATTCGCTATGAAACAAAGACTCTCTCGACAGTGATACGTACAACTCAATATTTGGTTCCACACCCAGTTCGTAGTAAACCACATACTTAATAACTAATTTCTGTAAGGATCAGATTCTGAAATTTTGTAACTTCAAGAAGATATTACAAAAGTTTTAATGGAAGGCATATGAAGGATATATATATATATATGCAATTGAGTTAAAGAGAGAAGAAATAAAATAACAGAATAATATCAGGACAGAAAAAGACGAGTTTATCAGTTTCATATAATCTGATCACATGATTGTTGAGAACTGTGTGGCAGGCAATATCAGTATAGCAGCACTCAAGATTAAAGATTTAACTCCTCTTTTGACTACTCATTTTTCCAAGCATACAAAATGAGAGAGAATCCAAGACCTTGCAACTGGGAATCTGTGAACTGCTGAGAATAAGCCCATGTAAGAACAGAAGGATCTGAAACAGATTGGCATGCCCACAGCTTCTCAGTTGAAATGCAGGTTTGGAACATAAAAACTGCATTTCCCATAGCATTTCCAAAGAGCCAATTATGTACGTCCCAGAATACTTCCACCGGCAGCCCATCCACCAAAATGGTGTGATTGCCCCGGAACTTCCACTTGAGTTGCTTCACCTGCATTACTGTCTTGCTATCAATTCTAATCACTAGACACAGATCATTGAGCCCAAGTGTGTCACACTCAATTCTAACATCATGCACTTGCCCCTTGTCACAAAATTGAGCCTTTGCACCGTAAAACTTCTTACCAAAAATGTGTTCTCTCTTTGCAATAAAAATGGCATCAGAGTGAGCATAAGCATAGTCACTAGCAATTTTCTTGCATGCCTCCTTTTTCAGATCCCCTAGGAGCAATACCATCTCTTGGTTGAACACAACAGCTAAATAAAACCCCTCCAATGGTTCTGGCCCCGAACCAAATTTAGCACAACTCAAGTCCCAAAGTATATCAATTTTATTAGATTCAACCTCCAAATTCTTAGACCCTTTTCTTCTTGAGAACAACCATGGCTTTATATCAACTTTGCAGAGGCAATGGTTGCCCAATTCATCAATTCCCACACTTAAGCCTTGACCCATCAGACTTTTGGTCCACGAGACCGTGATCAAGCATGAACGAGCTCTTAACTTACAATGATACACACAAGTAACCGCATTTTGTGCTCCTCTTGTGGCACTTGAAGAGGAGGAATCCACAACCTGAACACCATTCTCTCCAAAACAAGAAGGAAACTCCTTCATGGTAGCACCACCACCAGCAGCAAATTATCTGAACTTGCTTACGAAATTCTGGTCTTCAATAGTTCATGCGCTGAAAAAAAGTGTCTGGGATCATGTAAAAAGAAAGGACTTCTGCCTCAGCTGATTGATTGCAGGTGAACACCACAAGGAACCCTGACTAAAATTCTTCAAGATCAGCTCCAAAACTCTTCATTTCTCATCTGGGTCTATGTTTCTTCAGAATGGGATACCAGAAGAGGAAAGAGAGAGATAACGACTGAGGTTTGCTTTACCTGTTAATTCTGTGCTGAGACAACTAAAGTAAAAACCGAAATGTCTGGTTTGAAAATTGCAGGGAACATAAAGGAAGCATAAGTAAAAGGGAAGTTGCTTTTAGCACATGGGGCAGCGAAGAAATGGATAAAGTCTGAATAGAATAGAGAGAGTTGGTCTAAGCATGAAGCGTGGCAATTGGGTATGTATTTGCTGCTGAGAGTGGTTTTTCTTTTATACACCTCCTTGCTCTTTCTCACTCTCGTTTAAATAAATAATTATGTTAGGCAATTTTTGAAAATTATAATGATGTCCCTGATAAAAAATATTTGGAAGATTGTTGAAAATAATTGCTAAAATATGATTAAAATCATTAGAAATAAACGTAATATTTAAGACTCATATATACTTGATGCATCACTTCATGGTCTTTATGAGCTGGTATAATTGGAGTGTGTGTATGGATAATTATAAGATAAGATTAGCTATAGTAATGATATAATCATATGAATCTAAAATGATATTATATAATTAAGTGGGAGAATAGAATTATTTAATATTATTCCATTTTTTATTTAAAAAGTCTGAATCATTAAATTATTTGGCGAAGGTATTAGTAAATTTTTGTTATATGAACAACTGAGTTTAAATTTCTGGATATTAGAGTTAGTTTATTCAAAATAACAGATTTAACATATTGTGGGTGATAATCATATTTCATTATTTTGCAAGTCAAGAATATAAGAAAAAATACATCAACAGTTATTTTGATATGATCAAGGATTTCTTGTTAGAGGAAATACCATAACGATACATCAGGATAAAATTATTATTATTATTTAGAAGAGAGGAGAGAAGGAGTCAACACTTACAGTATATTTTGAGATCAAGATAGTCTGGCCAAATCAGAGAAGTGGGAAAAAAAACATTAATTAAGTGGGCTCCTTCTCAATCGAAACACTGACTGAGAAGTTAGTATGCATCTCCAGAGTCCCCCCCCAAGTGTAGCTTTACCCATAATTAGCGGAAACAATTGTGTTTAAGACAACCAAAGTTGATTAAGGCGACAGTTATAGCTCCCTTTTTTAATCAATTTACAAGGACTAAGAGAAGGTTAAAAGGCTAAATATTTTTACACACTTTCGATCATCTTTTACACCAAAAATTCAAATAAACCATGCCTTTTGCTAGGTAAAATAAACCATGATTGCTTCATCTAGGAACTATGATTACCTTGATTCATCCATTGATTATTTTAAGGTAGGTTAGGATATATAATTTAAGCGCTCATTTAATAATTTTTTTTATTATAATAACTTGTTATATAAATTTAACCATAAAATTTATTAAATTAAACTGAAAATATCCTACTGATAAGTTATATAAAAAAATTATTAAAATAAATTTAAAAATTGCTTATAAAAATCATAAATTATTTATAAATTTTTTTAAAGGGACCTTATCATTAATTGTTGTCGATTTAGCGTTCACTTTGAAAATTGGAAGAGTAGTAGAGGAGAAAGACTGATTCTCAAATGTTCCATTAGCTGTTTGACCATCATCTTCAACAATTAATTTCATGACATAATGTGGATCATCTAGCTTTAACCAGACCAGGTCTTAGATGCCCCACCAAGGGACAATTCGATTACGGACAGGCCAACAGCTTTGGAACTTTAGGCACTTTTGACTTTACAATCAAATTTTCTCCTGTAACTAGAAGGTGGACAAAAAGTTACTTTGCTGGCTCAATAATTTTGCTAGTGCTCTCTTGTATTTGATCTAGTTTTTGTTTTTATTACTTTTATGTATAACAATTTATCTTATAATATTTTTACTTTGTGTTTACGGTGAAAAATGATAATTTATAAATAAATAATTTAAAAGTAATTTAGAGATTAGATTAAGTCCTTTTTAGATTTTTTTAAGTGTGTTATTAATGTAATAGTAGAATTGACGTTATAAAGTAGAGGATTAAATGGGAATAACAACTAATAGTGAAACAAAATTTAATCAGAAATAAATGTTTTTACATAAATGTGCTAAATAGGAACTAAATTATAGAAAAGAAATAAGCAACAAACTGGAATTAAAATGTAAAAAGGTAAATGTGCAGGAATGTAAATATGCGAGAATGTAAACGTACGACTCATCATAACAGTGAACAACGGCCACCGTGAGTCTCTTGGTAGTTGGTGTCTGGCGCGATGCAAGGTTTCAGCGTTTCAGAGAAGTTAGGTGTGGTGTTTAGGTGCAAAAAGTCGTCCCTTGTAAAATGACGCTTTGAAGTATTTATAAGTAGGAAGATTACCACCGTTCTCCTCCTTTTGCAAGTACTTCTTAGTAACTACCTTCAACTGTTGATGTCCATTATCCACGATTGCTTGTGATCGTGCTGTTGATTGGGGCTTCTTTCATAACTGTTATCGCCCACGATTTCCTTTGCGTAGTGGTGAATGTTGATGACTGCTGGTAACTGCTTTTGAATTTTGCAATGACTTGACCTATCAAGACTTTTGTTTTTCTATCTTTTGAGTATTTCTGGTAGAATTCTAAGAGACTCATTTAGTATTATGGCCTTAAAATAATTTCTCATTGACTTCTCTTTTCGACTAATTCTGGAGTTTTGAGAACTTGTCTTGGTTTTGTGAACTGAGAATTTTTTTTTTTCTCATTTTTGTTTTTCGAGCAATTCTGGAGGGACTCTGGAGCTCAACTAGGTTTGTGGACTTAAAATATTTTCTGACCACTTCCTGTTTTTCAAGCATTTCTGGAGGGAATTTAGAGCTCAACTAGGTTTGTGGACTTAGAATATTTTCTGATCACTTCCTGTTTTTCGAGCAGTTTTGCGTGTTAGGGACTTGGAAATTCCTCAAAATTTCTCGAAAAAACCTTCAATTTTGTGGACTTAAAATATTTTCTTATCTTTCAAGTAGTTTAGAGAGAAATTCACAATGTGACAAAAATCTCTTAAAATAGCTTGAAATGTTTCCCTTTTAATAAAAACTAAAGGTCTGGAATAATCTTCTACTATTCTCTTATATTTAGGCCTATTTTTTTTTACTCCTTCTTGACCCTCAAAATTTTATCGAAATATAACTTTCTTTAACATAATTTTTAACTTAGAAAATTTTCTTTACCCCAAACACTTTGAGTTTCCCTTTGTTTGTTGATTCAAAGTTTTATATTATAATATGATTAAGTTCAAATGAAATTTCTGGATATGTTCTCATGATTTTGTAAACACTATACAACCAAAACTCTTGCATGGTGGATGTTGTGCATGGCATGTGTTTCTCCTGCTTTTTGGCCCTTTATTTTGTCCCGTTCATAAATGGATAACCACGAAATTAGAATGTGTCAGTACTCAAGAACTAGGACTTCAATAGAGGATTCAGTTTGGTCAAGCTGCATGTACAAAAGTTTGACGAGCCAAAGAGTGTCCCACGGGATGCATTAATTTGCATCCAAGGCATTCCACACAACCTTATGAATATGGTGTGAAACATATGTTATAAGCATGTCAGCTTGACAAGGCATGAGACAGCAGTCATCACTGACTTTTGGTTAACAATCACAAATGTTTAACTGCATGTTTGGAAGAGCTTTTTTGCAAGAGAAATAATTGCTTTTCTTTAAAAAAAATCTCACAAAACTATTAAAATGATTATTTTTTCAAATTAAGGTATATCAAACATACAAGTGTTCGTTTTATTTTTTTTAGATAAAGTTTAACTACATTTATCAAGAGAAAATAAGTTTTTATTTTTTCATTTGCATGTTAGGCAAATCATACTAATAGAAAATCCAAAATGCTCTAAGGTACAGTTCCATTATCCTGTCTAGCCATATAAAATGACGATAATTTTTTTAAAATAATATTAGAATAATATATACATTCCTAACATACTGAATTATGGGTGGTTTAAAACTAAAGCCAAATCACCCTATAAACACCCATATGCTAAGAGAAAGTAGTAAATGAACAAGAAGAATAGGACAATATTTATTTTGCTACAGCAACGACAGTGGTTCGAATCAAAGAACTTAAACTATATCATTTTGCAGCCATATTTGGTCTCCATTACTAATTAGCCTCTTGTTCCTCACTAATTAGCCGGCTTAAAAGTATATGGTTCTAGCTTAAAACTAAAGATTCCATTATTCCAACACGAGACATGAATGTATGTTACTGTTAAACAACACAGAGAGATATTTGTATAGTTCATTTAAGACTAACAGCCAATAAATACTGTACAAAATATATAAAGGAATCTACTTGCAAAATGAACCAGCAAGAACAGGATCGTAGTGAAATGATTAAAAGAGATGGAATAATCATAAAGTCTGTCTGACAAAACATTGCTTAGAAATTCAGGTTGGATTATCCCCTATGTAGTGTCAGTGTCAACTATAAGTGGCGTATAACATTATAAGAAGAAAAGTTATATAAACTTTAAAGCATACGCAGCCACAAAGGGGAATCGATGAAATTACTTTGTCGTGTTGTTCCCCACCTTTGTTGTAATTAGAGCATCTACATACTTACCATCAATTCCTCTAATAAATATCAATGATGGATTCTATGCGTTTTGATGGATTGCATGGATTTGAGAATAAAAAATCGACATTGAGACCTTTGATCAGCAAGTCATGCCAAACCCAACTTACCCATGTGATGAAAAGTTCCAAACCATCCAATGCACTTGTCAAAATTAAGGTCATAGTAACACATAAACATGTCATGT